CACTCCTCGGAAGGAAGATGGGGCAATCTACTTCCTTAGTGATACTGCCTCGGAAACCCAAGGAGGGGTCACTATGAGTCGGGTCCAACTTGACAGTACATAACAACAACAACAAAGAAGAACTTATCCATTTGAATTATGATGTTGGCAAAGAATATTAAATATACCATAAACTGCCAGAAGAATGAACAAATCTGTCTTGGAACAAGTACAGCAAGAATGCTCCTTAGAAGCTGTTTCAGTTCCCTAGTGCCGCTCTAACAGAAGATACCACAAATGGAATGGCTTGAACAAACAAGAATTTATTCTCTTACAGTTTGGAGGCTTTAAGTCTGAGTTCAAAGTGCCAGGGTCTAGGGGCTGGGTGAAAGCCCCTCAACCCTGAACTTCAGCTCTGCCTCCTGCTCCCAGCCCACTGAAGCTGGGGACTTTTCTTCACTCAGCTGCTGGATGCTGAGGCTGACAAGCCCAAGGTCGGCAAGTAATAAGACCCAGTCCTGATGTTACCAAACCACATGGCAGGGTGTTAATTCAAATCCATTGAAAGTCCCAAGGTTAGCAGAGCATGGCAGACTGCCGAACAACCCGGCTACATGCAGGGTTCAAGTGTGCCATAAGCTAGAGACCATTCCCAAAGCTGCTTCTTATATATGTGAAGCAGACCACATACCCGAAGCAGCTACTCAGCTGCTCAACAGATTCCACCATGGAGTTAATTACCAGTCTCACCATGGGGAATAACTGTATTCAGCTGTCCAGCCACTCAACCAGGCCCAGCCAAGTGGACATCCAAACTTAACCACAACAGAACCAAAGATGGTGAGACTTAATCTCATGTACTTTGGACATATTATTAGGAAGGATTAGTCTCCGGAGAAGGACCACATGCTAGGTAAAACAGAGGATCAGTGAAAAAGAGGAAGACCCTCAATGAGATGGGCTGATACAATGGCTGCAACAATAGAATCAAACATAGCAACAACTGTAAGGATGGTACATGACCAGGCAGTGTTTTGTTCTGTTGTATGTATCACTACGAATAGGAACCCACTCAATGGCACCTAACAACAAGAAGGCAGGTAACTCAAAATTCAGTATCTTAATGGTCACAGAAAAAAGATCTCACATATATTTGGGGATCTGTTAACAAAAGAACTCACTTTCTTGCCAAATCATCCTAAAATAACTGTGCTGTCAAGCTCCACCTATGCACAAAGAATTTGTAACCAGCTTTTAGGCCCTACTCTTAACTATAAACAGATAAACACAAGAAAATACTCCAAGAAGAAGGCAAGAAATAGAAACAAGAAAGTAAAAAAACTAACAAAGATAAAAGAAAACTTAAAAAAAAAACCTTTTAATTTTTATTCTCAGAAAGATCTGAAAGGTATACATTAAAAAATAGGAGAGCATGATTTGGGAATAATCATAGAGTAAGAAAATTCTATTGGAAATTAACAAATATAACTATTGAAAGTCAAAATTCAATTCAGAAGATTAAAGCAGATGAAATATCAAAGGAAGAAAAAAAACATGTTCCATTAATGAAATCTACTTTAGACTATCTTTCTCCCAAATAGATGCTTTCCTAAAAGATCATCTTTGTGAAAGGAGAAAAAAATGGCCCGGTCTTAAGTTTTATACTTTGCTAGGTTCCTCAGAAGGAAGATGGGGCAATCTACTTCCATACTAACACCGCCTCAGAAACCCAAGGAGGGGTCGCCAAGAGTCGGGTCCAACTCGACGGCACATAACAACAACAACAGGTTAAACATAAAATGAAATTTAAATTAAACAGGATTTTTCTTAGCAATACATTATCTGAAATAAACTATTTTCATTTCTAGACATTTATAACTATAAATGAAGACTATATCAAAACAGATTAAAACTCAACAATAAAAATGTCTATCAAAATGAAAAGTTCTATACTTTAAGTATACTTTGTCTCAATATTTCCAATCATGTATAGAAGTACACATACATTTTCTACAGAAATATCACTGATTTCTTGTAATGAAAGTCTATTTTTATGTAAAAAAACAAAATAAATCCCTTAGCATTTAATCTCTGCTAGGCGGTCTGGTGGTGTATTGCCTAAGACTTCTAACCAAGAGGGCTGGTGGTTCAAACCCAACAGCCACTCCTCAGAAGGAAGCTTGGGCAATCTAATCTACTTCCATTGTGATACTGCCTCGGAAACCCAAGGAGGGGTCACTGTGAGTCGGATTCAACTTGACAGCAGTGGGCTTGGTTTTGGTTTTATTAAAATAACTAAATCCAATTTTACCATTACTTCATTAAAAAAGCAATAACCAGCCAGATACTAAGATCACTATACGTATCTATATGCATTTTGAGATTCCCAACTATCTTCTACACCACTACTGTACTTTTCCAAATCTTCTATTCTCACACATATTAAGATAAGAAATAGAGAGCAAACAGGGTCTCAGACAATTCACATACACAAATTTTTCCCATAATCCACACCTGAAAACAAGTTAGGACAAATTATGTAATAAAAAATTTTTCAATATAAAAATCTTACATGCTTATCTTTCCTCTCTAAAACATCTTGCTTTTGTTTGCATTTTTGAGATGTCTCCTTAATATCTGTGGCCTGTAAGATTGAACCAGAAGGGAAAAAAGTTAAAAACTTATGCCAATTATGTAGCCCTGCCCATCTAAATATTAAGTATGAACTTACCCACAATAATACTTTTCTGTATTTCTTTCAAACCAAGTTCATAATTATCATAAAAAATATCATATTATTTGCAAACCTATAAAAAGTTATTCCTATCGATATTAAAAATAGCTGCAGAAATATGCATGTATTTCTTTATCTCTTTACATTTACTTTAACATTTTATTTAATCTGATCATCAAAACAATCCTAAAGGATGATGGGGATAGCTATAATTCTGCCTTTGTACATATGAAGAAAACAAGGTTCAAAGAGGCCAATGTATAAAAAAAAAACAAAAAACGGGAGCACTAATACTCAAGACCAGGTCTTATATTAAATCTAACATCAGGGCAAAGGGGACTAGGAGAGGGAGACATGAGGGAAACTAATATTTACCGAGTGATTAAAACCTAAACACACCCTGCTTACGCATTGTATACATGTGCTAAATCACACACATTAATCATGTAAGATACAGATTACTATCTTCACCTCACTAATGAAGACAGTGAGGCTCAGTGAGGAAAAATAATTTGCTGAAGGTCAGGAAGCTAATAAATGGCAGAAGGGGCATTTAAAATACAGATCTGTGTGAATCCAACACTGTAACACCTCCCCGGAATGTTAAAAAAAATTACAAGTGTTGAAAAAGGTTTTCTGTTGTATCAGAAGGAACAGAAAGGAGCAAGAACAATATGAATACTAAAGAAAATTAACAATTTTGTTCCTTGTTGCATGGCTATGAGTGCTAATAACTATTTTTTGCTATTGTTTTTGTTGTTTTTTTAAGAGAGAGAGACTGATATAATGCACTACTTCAAGATCATTTCTTCAGGGAAACAATTCCAAAATATCTTCTGCTATGTAGATTTCACATAAACCAGATTAGGCTCAATGACATTTGGCAATGCTTTAAATACTTTAATGTCCAACCTTCCACTAAGAACAGACAAACATGAAAGGCTTTTAAATATGATTCTTTAATTAAGACAAATAATAGGATTTAAAATTTATTGTATGCATCTTTCCCACTATGAAAGGAAATTCAGGGAAGGTAAAAACAATTAAAAACCCACCACTCAACTACAATCAACCATTGTCAGCATAACAATGATGACTATCAGCTCTATAACTTTGAGAAAGTCTCTGGGATTAGGTATCCTCAAATCTAATGATATAAAATGAGGGCAATGTGTCTAGATAATATCCACAAACCCTTCCTGATCTATAATTTAAGATGATCAATAATTTTTCTTAAAATCAGATCAAGACCTAAGATTATCTGTTCTTAATAACTGTTCATTTTCTAGACTTTGCTATAATGACTCTCCCTTACTTTGTACCTGTATCAGAATTAAGATCTAGTGGAGCTCTTCTGATGTGACAGCATGGAAGTCAAAACTACTGACTCCTGTGATAAACTTTACATTCCAGGATATAACCTTTCTTACTCAGTAGACACTGTTCATCATAAATACTAAAATATCTGATACTGTCTAGCTCAAGAAATGATTTTTTTTTTTTTAATCTATAGGCTGCTTAAAAAGAAAATGCACAATCATATCTCTAGCTGAAAAACTTGACTTTTTTTTTTTACAGAAAAAAAAAAAAAAACCCTAAAAATTTGTACTAATCAAAACTCAGAACACTGACTGGTCCTTTAATGACTGACAACCTTAAAATGAGCAGCAAAGAAACTGGAGTAGCATATTCATACTATACCAAAATACAATTTTAAAAATAAACTCTGTATAGTGGAAATTATTTTACACTGTAGTTTTTCCAATAGATATGTCAGACTGAAATCCTCCTTTTGCAATCAATTAAAGTCACCTTTGAACAGTGGCCCACACCAGAGATATATAGCCAAACATGTCAAGATGGTTCTCTGGTTTCCCAAAACTAATTTTCACATAGAATAAATTCTACTGGTGTCATTAACAAAGCACTCTACTTATTTGAGCTAACGACCCATTTCTGAAAGAGGTTCTTAACCAGAGGCCAAGGATCTGAATTAGTGCATCTGGGAATCACCAGAATCTCAAATTGCAGACCTTCCTACATGCATTATTCTGGAGGCAGGGTCTGTAGTTTAAAGCATTCTCAAAATAATCTCTGGCCCCAAAATGTCCTCTCAGGGTTAAGAGCCATGACCACAAAAATTTTAAAGTTATAATTTCAAATTCAGAGAATATTTCATCATATTATTTATTCTAAGGAACATCTGATTTTCTATATTATCTCCTCCACAAAGGTGTGCAATTACAATAAAGATATAAGAAGTTCACAAAAGTAGCCTAGAGTTTCTAGGAACACCATTATGAATCTTCTTGTAATTTAAACAATCCCATCTCATTTTTCTCTTTTTATATGTTGGGATATCTATAAAGTAACAACCCTCCCAACAGTGGTGCTTAGGACTTTGAAACACCTGTGGTGGTGTAATTACTAGTTAAAGGAACTCAAGGAACCAAAGTTATGGGTGAAACTGCAAAATACTTTGGAAGACCTGAAAAATACTTTTAATATTTGCTAACTTAAATACAGACATTCTAAAATTTAGTAGAAGTACCTTCTCTTTGATTTGGGCTTCCAAACTGTGACGCTGCCTGTCAATTTCTTCAATTCGACGTGTTATAGGAGCCTGCCCGTCTTTAAGTTTTCTGACCTCTTCCTTCACTTGGTCACGAACTAGTTTTACTTCTTCATATTCTTGACGAACATTTTCATATTCCTTGCAAATAATTCAAGAAATAGAACTTAATGTTTAAGTAGTTTAGTACTTAACTAAACTACTAGCCTAAACTAAGCTATTTATATTTACTAAAATCAAGGTACAGACACAAACAAAATCTAAGAAGAGATTGTTTTGATATCTCGCTGGTAGGTTTACTAATAAAAATTTCACCCTCTGAAAAAACCTCAGAAATAGGAAACATCAATATAATGACTTAGTAAGAGTCTTAATAATCATTAAGCATTTAACTCTATCACTAGGCCAGATTCTCTTTTATCCCCTTCCCTTTCTGAAATATCTGAATGACTTTTAAAGTGAGATTTTCCTCTAATCTCCCAATAAAAAAGGGATACCGATACATAAAAAAGTAATAAATAACTAACCTCAGCTAAGAAAAATAGACATGTACGAAGAACAACAACAAAAGAATGAGTCAAAAGGAAAACAAAACAAAGCAAAATGAAAAAAATATTAAAAACCATCTTAGAAAGAAAGATGAAACCAAAAGACCAAGTACACGAGAGTAATGATGGACACAGGACAAGGAAAATGCAATCAAGAGAAGCTAAAGAAAAATGTTAAGGATAATGGAATTATGGGAGAGGGGAAGGAAAAACACCACAAATACAGCCACATCCATTTCCAAATCAAATAACAATTATTTCCTTTCTAATCTTGCAATAGGAGCTCTGGTAGCCTAGTGTCTAAGGCACTTGACTGCTAACCAGAAGGCTGGTGGTTCAAACCCACCAGCTACTTCTCGGAAAGACGGTTGGGCAATTTACTTCCATAGTGATACCGCCTCAGAAACCCAAGGAGGGGTCACTATGAGTCGAGTCCGACTTTATGGCACAAGCAACAACAACAGCAATCTTGGAATAAAAGTTATAAATTTTTTTTAATCTATCTTGTTCTACATCTTATGAAGTAATATATCAAGGAAATGGAATCTTTAGCCAAACTTTGTGGTCTTAAATAATGTCACACACATCATAGAGTGAATAGAAAGTAAACAGGATCCTCAGGAAAGTTGAGAAATGTATGTGGTATAAAATTGCAGCTAAGATATTTCACCAAAAAATATCCCAAATTAATTTCTAATCATCTGAGAGCACATAAAGATTTAATTTTTCTATCTGGAAACATTTTTAGATCATTAACATTTTTTAAAAAACCAAAGATTTATCTCTTAGGGATTACATCTAAGTATTAAGATCAATGAGTTAACCAACTATTATTTGCTATAAAATAACACGGTACACAGTTATGTAATAAAACAGAGGAGACAGATAAATTCTATTATGAATGATGAATAAAAGGAGCCCAAGTGGTACAATAAGGAAGTGCTTGGCTCCTAAATGAATGGTGGTTCAAACCCACCAGCTGCTTCATGGAAGAAAAGACATGACAATCTGCTTCCATAAAGACTTCAGCTTAAGAAATACTACAGGATAGTTTTACTCCATCCTATAGAGTTGCTTTATTGGTCAAAATTGACTGGACGACACTCAAAAACAGCAAAAATTAACAAAAGCATTTAATTTGGATACCTAGTAATTAGTGCATTCTTTACAACTATTCTTCCACTCAAAGACTCATCTACTTTGCTGTAGTTTTTGCATATAATAATTAAGACTTACCACCCACGGCCTTTTTGCTTCAAGCATCTCAATTAAATCTAAATGTCGCTTCCGTTCATAGAATCTTTCCACATCTTGCTTGTATCTTTCATTCCTCTGAATGATTTTCTCTAGATATTCAGTTTTTTCTTTGCATGAGGTCTAAATAAATGTGTTAAACAATAAGTTTAACAGTAAGTTTTTGTCTGAAACAGTAAGTTTTTGTCTGAAAAAGACAAAGGTCCAATCTATTAATAATAAAAAATATACAATGCTAACAAAATCTCACAATAAAGAAATCCATACAAGTTCTTAAAACTGTGCAGTTGTAACATGCTGTCTTAATTATCCAGTGCTGCAGTAACAGAAATACCACAAATGGATGGCTTTAAAAAACAGAAATTTATTTTCTCACAGTTCAGAAGGCTAGAAGTGTGAATCCAAAGCACCAGTTGTAGGGGAAGGTGTACTCCGTCAGCTCTGCAGGAAGGTCCTGTCTCTTTGGCTTCTGCTTTCTGGTTCCCTGGAGATCTCAGTGTGTCCTGGCATCTCTCTTATCCCATCTCTGCTCGGCTTTTCACCTCTTTTATATCTCAAGAGAGACTGACTCAAGATACATCCTATACTAATCCTGTTTCATCAATGTAACTAAGACAACCCATTTCCAAATGGGATTATAACCACAAGCATAGAGATTAGTATTTACAACCCATATTTTGGGAAGATATAATTCAATCCACAACATATATATGCACAGCTGAGTTCTTGTCAAGGTTTAACAGTTTACAAGTCATGTGACTGTGGGGAAGTCCTACAGATCTCTGAGCCTGGACTTTGTCTAAAGATAAGAAACAAACCTGTCCATCCACTTCAAGGGACTGAATATAAATGATGTTGTTGTTGTTAGGTGCCATCTAGTCAGCTCACACTCAAAGAGACTCCATGTACAATGGAACAAAACCCTGCCTGGTCCTGTACCATCCTTACAATCCTTGCTATGCTTAATTCCATTGTTGCAGCCACTGTGTCAATCCATCTCATTGAGGGTCTTCCCCTTTTTCTCTGACCCTCCACTTTACCAAGCATGGTATCCTTCTCCAGGGAATGGTCCCTTCTGATAACATTACCTAAGTACGTGAGACAAAGTCTGGCCATTTTCGCTTTCAAGGGGCATCCTGCACTTCTTCCAAGACAGATTTGTTAGTTTTTCTAGCAGTCCGATATTTTCAGTGTTCTTCGCCAACACCACAATTCAAAAGCATCAACTCTTCTTTAGTCTTCCTTATTCATTGTCCAGCTTTCACACACATATGAGGCAAATGAAAATATCATGGCTTGGGTTAGGGGCACCTTAGTATTCAAAGTGACATCTTTGCTCTTTAACACTTTGAAAAGGTCCCTTGCAGCAGATTTGCCCAGTGCAATATGATGTCTAATTTCTGATTCCATGGGTATTGATTGTGGAACTAAGTAAAATAAAATCCTTGACAGCTTCAATCTTTTCTCCACTTATCATGATGCTGCTTATTGGTCCAGCTGTGAGGATTTCTGTTCTTTATGTCGAGGTGTAATTCATATGTGAAGACTGTAGTCTTTGATCTTCATCAGTAAGTGCTTCCAGTCATCTTCATTTTCAGCAAGCAAGGCTGTGTCATCCGCTTATTGTAGGTTGTTAATGAGTCTTCTTCCAATCTTGACACCACATTCTTTTCATATACTCCAGCTTCTCATTATTTGCTTAGCAGATAGCCTGAAAAATATGGTGAAGGATACAACTTCGATGTACATACTTCCTGATTTTATATCATGTGGTATCCCTTTGTTCTGTTTGAACAACTACCTCTTGGTTTATGTAGTTTCCTCATGAACACAATTAAGTGTTCTGGAATTCCCTTCTTCACAATGTTATCCATAATTTAGGATGATCCACACAGTCAAATGCCTTTGAAGTCAATAAAACATAAGCAAACATCTTTCTGCTATTGTCTGCTTTCAGCCAAGATCCATCTGATATCAGCAATGATATGATTCTATTTCTTTTTTTAGAAGTTATTTAAGAGAATATATTTATTGAACAATCTATTAGTCAGCACTATATATTTAAACAAGGACCTCTGGTGGTGCAGTGCCTAAGGTATTTGATGACTAACCTAAACGCTGGTGGTTGAAACCTACTAGCTGCTCCACACAAGGAAAATGAGGCAATCTACCTCTATAAAGATTTTCTGCCTTGGAAACCCAATGGGGGTCGCTATGAGTCAGAATCAACTTGATGGCAGTAGATTGGTTATACATACACACACACACACACACATACACATATACATACATACTTAACCAAAAAAAGAATATGTCTATCATCCGGCTAACATTTATCCTCGACGACAAAGTGATCACATGGTACATCTGAAAAGGTTAACAAAGAATCTTATATTGTGTTACTCTTATATAAATATTACTATTATGCTTGCTGAAGATAAACAGAAGACATTTCTGCTATGGCTTTCAATGGTAACCTTCTGACTTTCTATAAAATCATGGATTTTCACAGTTCAAATGAACAGTAATTAAGTATGTTTACAATTCTTGGAACTTATATTAAAATGAGTTCTTCTAGAATTTCACATAATTCCACTTATATTTATAAAAGGAGATCCAGTGGCGCCATGGTTAGTGCATCTGGCTGCTAACCAAAAGATCGGCAGTTTGAACCTACCAGCCACTCCACTGAAGAAAGAGGCAGCAGTCTGCCTCCATAAAGATTCACCACATGGAAACCCTATGGAACAGTTCTATTCTGGCTTGTAGGATCACTATGAGTAGAAATTGCCACACCCTCTCATGAATCCAGCTTATATTTCTGGCAGTTCTCTGTTAACATACTGCTGTAACCATTTTTGAATTGTCTTCAGCAAAATTTCACTTGCATGTGATAGTAATGATACTGTTTGATAATTTCCGCATCCTGTTGGATCACCTTTCTTTGGAATGGACACAGATATGGACTGTTTCCAGTTGGGAGACCAGGTAGCTATCTTCCAAATTTCTTGGCATACATGAGCAAGTGCTTCTAGTGTCGCATCTGTTTTCTGAAACATCCCAGTTGGCATTCTGTCAATTCCTGGATCCTTAAATATTAATTCAGATGTTTCAACTAACACACGTAACACTGTGACTCACTACATGTTATATATACCTATGACTTATGGACTCAGAAATGAAATAAAAGAAAGCTAAAACTGAGGCTTTACATTGAAAACTGACAAAGGTATACTTGGAAGCTAGGTTATGTGTTTGTTTTCTTTCAGAGGATGGTAGGCAGTTTATGGGAGTGCTTCCGACAGAAATATAAGATTAAAGATGACAAGACTGAAAGGAGCCACCTAACTGCTAATTATAAGGTTTTCTTCTAGCAGCTCCATGGGAAAAAGATAAGGTGATCTGTTTCCATAAAGTTTACAGCCTAAGAAGTCCTATGGGGCAGTTCTACTCTGTGACACAGGGTTGCTATGAGTTAGAATTGATGCAGCTGTCACCTAACAACAACAAACAGGACAGAAGGAGTATGTGAAATAGGATAAAATAATTAAAAAAACTCAGAACAACTCCTCTGGTTATTCACTTTGAGTAAGTATTAAAAAAAAAAATGAAATTTAATGGTAAAATACGTATTACCAAAGAAAAAGCATTTATTTATGTTTTTTTTTTTATTATGAAATTGACTGAATTTATTTTAGCTAGTGAGACATACAAAAAGATCCATTACAGAACCACTGAGACTGTGGCCCCTAGCTGCCCTTCAGGTCTGGAATTGAACCCACTCCCACGGCTTCCAACCAAACAAAAGACAAGCGTATGAGCTGAACATTTACGTTAGGTGGATTCACTCCTTAGAGAGATCAATCATGGGAGAAAAGAAGGGCTGTGTATGCACAGGGAGACAGTTCAGGGGCAGAAGTGCATGGGAGGGAAGGATAAAAGGAAGAGCTATGGGGAGGAAGTGGGAGGGGAGCTGCTGCATTGTGGGAAATTGCAGTCTATGTCATGAGACAAACTGTACGTGAGCTACTGTATGGAAAATGAATTTGCTCTGTAAACTTTCACCCAAATCACAATTAAAAAAAAAAAAAAAAGAGAGATCCATTACATAAAAGACATCTTCTGAAATGGCATACACCAAAAGGGCCTTTTTATTTACACGTTTATTAAAGGTGAAAGTAAGAAATTCAACACTGAAACTAAATGCATAGTTCTTTTACAAAGTGTACTCTTATGCAACTGAAAAAACAGTTTAAGAGCTGCTTCTCTAGAGATGCTGCACAAAAAGCTGCATGATTTATGCCATATTACTCAATATCTTACATACTACTGAGCACATGGTTGGTATTTAATAAATACTGAAAGACAGAATAATACTGCAACTTCCTGAGTGAAAAGTTTGTAATACTGTTATATTTCTTAGATATTCAATTAATAACATGATTTTGTTGAAATGTGGGGCCTGGTGATGCTGTAATTGAAGTTCTTGGCTTTTAACCAGAAGGCTGACAGTTTGAACCTACCAGCCGCTCCATGGGAGAAAGATGAGGCAGGCTGCTTCCACAAAGATTTATAGCCTTGGAAACCCTCTAGGGCAGTTCTACTCTGTCCCATAGGGTCACTATGAGTCATAATCGTCTTGATGGCAGTGATATTTGTTGAAATGAGTGTCAAATTTTCCAAATTTTATCAATTCCATTCTCATTTCCTGTCAATTATTTTTAACTAATGTTAGCAATGTAATCCTGGATGAAAGCAAATCACAAAATATAAATTGACTTACTTATTCAGAACTACGAGAAGCTGGACTATATGAAGAAAAACATGGTATCAGGATTGGAGGAAGAATCATTAACAACCTGAGATATGCAGATGACACAACTTTGC